AGGAGAGAGAAATGAGGGTCATAAAATTGGAACATGTCTTCATATTTGATGCATGTGAAGCTTTCAATTGCTGCGGTCATAAATATTTCAACAGATAAGTAAATACAAAATTTTATCCCGTCATTGAATGAACATATGCCAACATTCGCTTGATTGATATCAAAGTTGAAGGTTGAGAAATGTGTGTTCAGTCTGGGAAAACGGCTCACTCACCAATATATGGGAAAATCGACCACAAATGAATGCCATTTGAAATGGAAACCTTTAACATTTATCCCTAATTTCTGAATATTGTGAATGTCAATTAGGTAATTTTTGAAGTCTAATAAACTTAAATCAAACTCAGCACTTCAATAAAATCGAGGAACATGTTCAGTTGGCTTTAATATTGATTTAGAGCAAAAATGGCGCGTGAATCATGGGGAAGGGAAAAGAAAACAATTGAACATGGTGAAAAGTGGCAATTCGCAGTACTTAGCAAAAATAAACGATAAACCTTTATTTGCATCGATTTATCAATGACAGTGAACACAGGTGCAGAAATGCATTTCCATTGTTTTTTATTGGTATTCATTCTCCTTTGCTCCGTTTCTTTTTTATTATCATTTCTCATTCGCTTCTACTTCCTACGGATTACTTTTCCAAACACCGTTACTTTTCAAACATTTTACTTTATTACATCCATTCGAAAGGTATTGTAAATTCATGTTGACCACAAAAATGCATTTTCTCATCCAGATGCTGAGCATCAATAACTTGATGGAATTTCCATTAAATTTGATCGACAAACAATATTATTGCTGCTATGAAGATGTCAACTACACACTGAATCTTACGGTAACTGAAGTGACGGCATGCATATTCAACGGGATCATGAAATAATTTTCAAATACAGCGATTGTCATGTGACGAAATGAATTTCGATCAAATAAATAACAAACCAAAACTCAGTCATCACATTTTTCATTTGTCATATATATATTGAATAAGCAATGGATTGAAATGTCATAGCTGAAAGGAAAAGAATCTATTCATGTTAAATTCAATATGGATTCTGCGCTCGAATGGAATCTTGCATTGTATTTTTCTATGAAATGCAGTGAAAATATACAACTGTTCAACTATGCAGTGAATATATTTGCCTGAAAACATCCGGCTATTTGATGAGACCACTAAAATACAATGGAACTCATACATTTTCATTGCATTGAAATTGTGAATAATTATAGTATTAGATTTATGCAAGATGGATGAATATTGAAGCATCGAAATACTTTTTGTGGATTCAACGCATGGAATTACTGAAAATGAATTAAATTTGTAAATTTTAAACATTGGAATTTGTTTGAACTAATTGCCCGATGGACATACATATTGAAATGATTGTTTAAGTATTTCACTTGAGGGCAAAATCATAAATTGTTACTGACGTTTATATGTTAAAAATTGTAATTCCATGGGGCCATTTTCATCTATTATCTTTGATATCATCGGTTTATGTGTCAATCTCAGGCATGCTGTGTCTGGTTACTAACAAATATTTTCAACTCTTTGCATAAGCAACAACATGCAAACAACCAGAGGCTTTGCAAAGCCTCTGCCAACGTTTGGTATCAAAGCAATTGGAAAAATGACTTTGTGTGGAAAAAATGACGATTAAAAATATCTCTACTAGAATCGCGGATGGGCATTTGCCTGTGGCCAATAGGCTATGAGTCATAGCGATGCCTTTGAAATCAAATATTGTTGTTTGCTGCTGACACTTGTGACTACAACACAAAACCGATGAATATGTATTGCATTTTAGGTGCCAATTTCAATTCTCTCTTCCACCGAATGCACCGTATTTAGAGATGACGATAAATTATATTTCGTTGAATAGATTCGTGTGATAGGTAATTACTAATTAATGCGATTGCGAATGCATACACGCGAGACGGTATTGATTTTGAATAGGAAACGCTTTGTAAATGTAAAATTCTAAACACCAATCGAAACTTCGACTAAAGAAAATGATTCATTATAAAAGTTATAATTAGAAGTTGGCACAGCGACATGGCATTGGGATCAATGAATAAGCGCAAAATCATTCGAGAATTAACAACGTCTTCAAATTCAATATATTTTGACAGCTTTCTGATAAACTTCATATTTAAAATTAGAAAAGAATGAGAAAAAAGAAGTCGAGTGTATCTCTTTTTAGTTAGTGTGAGAAAGGATGGCATTGGATTTTATGAGATTAATTTAAGCCATATTCATATTTTACTTGCTATACTCAACTACTTACCATTATATATGTTCATACTTACTCCATCGTATTCACTACGATACACATATATATGTAAATGTAGACAGTGATTGGTGCATTAGATTTAATGAAATATTTACTTTGTTTTTCCGTCGATAGTATCTCGCGCTCACTTTGTTGTGTTTAATCAGTGGAATTAAAGTGAGCTCATTTGCAATGCAATAAAAGCGCTTGTAATTGATGTTCGAAAATTGATTAAATCACAAATTGAATTCACAAAAGAGATTGAAAATGCGAGATTCGATTCGATTCGTTTCGATTGTATGCTCTTTTCGCTTTTTATGTTCGCTCTTGCTGCTTTTTTTGTGTGCGGAAAAAGAATTGTTTTTGATGGTTCGCTCTCTATAAATATATGCATAACTTGAAGCGTTTGCTTCGCGCACGTTGTGCAAATGAGCGAACACAAGCGATTTTTATTTGAGTGTTAAATTCGTCGTACGATTCGAAGTCGCAAAACTTTTTAATTAAACATTTTCACAATGTTTAATGCAGTCTCGAATGCGCCTTTCCAATCGAAACCGTGAATGGCAAAGCAAAAAGAAGAAAGAAAAATGTTGTGACACATCGCACACACACAAAAAAAGAAACTTTTTGAATTGGGATGAGGAGTAAGCTCGTTGTTTGCTCTTGGTGTGTATGCAACGCTCCTTTTTGCAAACAAAAAACCATTTCTTTTCCATTTTCATCACGCTTCAGTAAACTTTCAGTTTCGAAAATTCCGCTCTGCACACACACACACAGAGAGAGAGAGAGAGAGAGAGAGAGACCGCATCTGAGTGGAAAAGGTCAATAAAAAAGGAAACGATTTCGACATTTAATCAATAATAATTCAGAAGAAGAGGAAACAGAATAAAATTTCCCATCTCTGGACTTTGCACTTTCGCAAAAGAGCGGCGTTAGCAGCAGCAAGCATGCGTTTCGGTTGTTAACGAACGAAAATGGTGCTATAAAACAGCAATTGGAGAAATAAATTGAAAAAGTAGTGATAGTTTGGAAATTTATCGGAGACTATATATGCACATTGCACTATTTGTGCGTTTTTGCAGCGGCAGCGGGGGTGCTGCTTTTACTTCCGTCTTAGTGATTGGCTGGTGTGTTTGTCAAGTGCATTCATTGGGAAAAATGGAATGTGTTTGTCTTTCGTGTGGTTTATCTTTCTGTTTTTTAACCCTTGCTACAAATGGTTTCTTCTGTGGTGCAGAATGTTTTTCGTTCTTCTGCTTGACTACACCATAATCCAGTCTCAAGTTATTGCAGCAGTTTCCATTTTTAATTTTAAATATGAATCGAAAAATATTCGGTCCATAAACATATATTTTCCTCCAATTCGGTTGAATTGAAATGACATCGGAATCGCATTTCAAAAAATGAAACGCTATCCTCGAATTCATGTGCACTTTCCTCCGATAGCAATTGTTGATTTTTATTCCTTTTCTACTTACCCGCGTAGAAATAAGCCATCATAAACGTTCGAATTTCACGGTGCTATGGATGTGGTTGGCAGCAATCGGCAACATCGGCAGCTCCAATGAATCGAAATCGAACAGCGAGAAATATGATAGCGTGTACAAAAAGAATTGTCTTCGTTGGAAATGATGCGAGCGTGAAATTATTTATTAAATGATTCTTTCTTGAAGTTTTGCACGGAAATTTTAGTTGGATGATTCCGGAAAAGAAGAAGAAGGAACATTTTCAGTTCGCTGTAGTTTGAAATGCAAAGTAAGGTGATTCGATTTCGTGGAAAACGGATTCATGGCATAAACACAATGAGCTCAAGTTGCTCTTTGATTTTGAACAGTACAAACGAACACGCACACACACACAACCATTGCCAATCTTCGTTTCGGTTTTGACAAGATAATTCTGATGTTTAAAAGTTTACCTGTTCGTACATGTTCGCTTCTTCTTCTTCGTTTGCGAAAGGCACGCACAGTACATAAGAGCTAATGCAAAAGTCAATTGATGCGCATAAGTAGCGCCACCTCTAATGATTACAAAGAGTTACCATAAGTCGTATGCAATTGATGTTGGAAAAAAGAAGAAGAAGCAGACATTCTATTCATTTACATTGCAATAATGGCAATCGGTAGAGATGGTGCTCATGTGCCGATCATATCACTGATACAACCCTTCGTTCGGTTGTAATCGAAAGTAAAGAGCAAAGATATCGATTGTCGGGTGTGGTGGTAACATTTTACATGGTCGTTGATATGGAAAAAAGTGATTTGTTTAAAAGCCCTTCTCGCCGATTGATATGCTCGTATTTAGAGTAAAACGAAGGGGGAAATATAGAAAAACAGTTACGACGACCGAAGAAGACCACGAATCGTCCACATGGCAAATACAATGGACGTCAACAGCGAGTACAACTACCATTTGGTTTGACGTTTTGCTATTAAGTTAGTTTAAGTAGCTTAAATGTAAGTAAAGTAAAGTAACAGTAAAGTACTGTGCTTCATGTCAAGTCTACTGTTAAGTCTAAACCTTAAAAATGTCTACAAAAATCAATAGATGGCGTTGGGGTGCAGCATTTGCCCCGTGGAATCGTCATCGCCGCCATCAATTCCAATCACATTACCTTACCTGTTATCGTTGACTGTGTGTATGTTGTTCTATTGTTGTTGTTGTTATCCTTTGGTAGGTAAGTACTTCAATAAATACATTAAATAAATCAATTTGATTTTTTCAAAAGGTTTCATTTTTCTCTCTGTTTTCTCTTTATTGTTATTTTACTACGATTTTTCTGTTGTTTTTTTTTTATTTACATAACATTTGTGTAATTGTTTGCTTTCGTACCATCGATTCATTTTAATTTAATTCACTTGACTTTTTCTCTCGCATTTTGTGTGCATTTTTTGCGTATTCCCTTTGTTCTGGCTCTTGCTATGTATGTGAGTGTTTGTGTGTGTATTTCATTTAGACCGAGTGCAATATCGTTCTTGCATTTTGCTTCCTATTTTATCCTTAAATGCTGTGTTGTTGATGTATGTTGTCATCAATGAATAAGTTATGTATTTACTTTGTATACTTTATGAATTGATGTAGCTTACAGACAGTTCGATTTCCAATGTGAATTTTCATTTTTCTCACTTTTCTGCCAATTTGAGTTAATTCTCCATTGCCATCCTTTCTACTTTGCTCTTGAAATGCTCGCCCAACAATTGCTCTTAAGTTGTTATGCTCTCTCGCGTGCGTTCTCTCCACTTAATCTATCTAGAATGTCGCATACGGTAAATTTATTGACGTGTTCTGTGTGTATTTCAATTCGAATCTACCCCTCTATCTCCCTTTGTACCTCACTCCCTATCTCTGACTCACACACGCTCTCGAATGGGAGGAGAGAACTTAATCGAGATATAACAAGCGATCGAGCAAGTAACACACTCAACATTTTGTAGTTCTCTACTATCTACGTGAATTGTGAACGCAATTTAAATGTGATACAATGCGCTGGCAAGCAAAGTCCAAGAGTTTAAATTTATGGTCGCTTTTAAAATTTAACGATAACGTCAAAAAGCGACTTTGTCACAAAACGACGATGAAATTTCCATTGGAAACTATACATTTATATTATATATTTAATTTATATATATATATAGAAAGGAATTCATCCACGGGAAAGGGAAAAAAACAAACATTCGACGCTTTTCATTCCATTTTCTCTCCCTTTACCTCTGCTCCTTCCACTGTTTTTCTCCAGCGCTTTCACACGCTTATCAACATGCAATCTCGTATCAAGTCCGTTTATCAAAGAATTCGTAATATTTACAATGGAATTTTTTTCACTACACAAATGCATATTTATAACTACTTAATCATCATTTTCCTTTTTTCATTTTATACTTGTCCATTAAATTACGGAATACAAAATAAAACTAGCGTTTTCTTTTTTAGAGCAAGTATCGCTTTGGATCACATTCAGGAATTGAACGAAAAAAAAAACAGAACAAAATGACAGAGTCATTTCTTTTATACCGTTGTGTTTATTTTGTGTGTTGGAATGTTTCTCTCTTCCGTTATTTACGCTTTTAATTACGCCGAATTACACACAGTAAACATTTTTAATGACGCGCACTTGAGCTAAACCTTACCGGTAAATAAATAGAGTATGTGTGTAATAAAGTGTTGCATGTGCCAGCGCATTTTGATGTGTATGAATTTATGCAAACCATAACAAAACATGCCAGACTATATTAGCGCGCTTTTTCACCTCTATTGAAGTATATTCGAATGTCGGGCGTCTCCTAATTTATTAACGTAAGAGCTTTCAAATTATTAAATATATTGAAATTCAACGGAAATACAATCAAGTAGAATTGTGTCGTTCTGATCGTTTCAAAGAAAAAAAGAAAAAAAAAAGAAATATTCTGTTCGACAGAATATTCCGAATCGTATAAGCCAGACGGCTGTCGAATGACGCAGAACATGCCAAAAACATCCAGTTTTCTTTTTTCCAGTTCAGTGTGCAATCAAAGTTGGTTTTTCTTCACAACAATAAGGTGCATTCGTCCAAAGCAATACCGTGCAAAACCGAGTGTTTGCTAAAAATAAATCCGACTTCATGGAAATAAAAAAAACCCAATCCAAAAATGGTAACGGTAATAATAAATAAAGGTGTCAATCAATAGAATTGCTTCAAATGCGCAATTGAAATGGTCGATTAACTAATTTGATATGTCTAAAAATATCACAATATTTACTTCGTTTTTTCTTCTCTTCTTTTTTCACGTCTGTGTGTCTGTGTGTCTGTCTTCGTTTATAACTTCATTTTAAAACTAAATGTTAAAGTGTCGTTTATTTTTGGTTTTGGCTTAATAAAATCATTTGCTGGGCATTTTATGGTTTTAAATTGCGTGTATTCAAATGTTATTTACATCTAGAGATTGTTTTGAATACTTTCGTCTCAATCGGTTTATGGTTCAAAAATAAACATCAATTCAAATTGGAAAATTAAGGAGAAATGTGTAACATGAATGAAAATTGTCTTCTGACGAAAAATGGTGATTGAATGGTTCAAATCCATGGTATGGGAATGAATTTCGGAAGGGTATTCAATACAACCTCTTTGTCTTTATCACTTGATTATTCCTTATTCTATTGCATAGTATTGCATCAAGCTTTTCATATTGTTCAATTGTCGGTATTCTTTTGTTTTCTCATGGGTTTGTCGCGTGTGGATAAACATTCAGTTAGATATGATTATTAATAGATTTAACTTTCCAGTACATTTCGGCTCATTTAATTGCTAACTAACTTAAACGGTTTCCTCCATTTGCTTTAATCCATTAATTTGATGTGAGTGATATTAAGATAATTGAATTGTTTTTGATACAGCAATAATCATCAATTGAGACATTTTTTTGAGTATTTATCTTCTTTTTTTTACAAAATTAAATTGAATTATGTTGCATATGTATTATAAGAAAGACAACTATAATCTATTAAGTCTAATTATCCTACAGAATTTGGCATAGCTTAATCTAAGTCAGTTAGGATATAATAAATTAATCTTATATGTTGTGTGGTGTGAAATGTGCGGCTTACCACCAAATGAGTGTGTGTGGGTGTGTGATTTCAAATGATTCAACTAGATATATATGTTTTTTTTTTAAAGATAAACTCTCATTCAGTGCTGTTACTATTTACATCATTTTCAATTTGACTAAAAAGTTCAAACTTAACCTAGGAGGGAAAAAAAATTCCGACCGTTTCTCTCTCCTCATTCAACATTCAATCACTTCAACACTTCTAATAACCAACGTTTAGAAGTTTAAAAAAAAACAGGTTCCGGCATTTTGGTTACCACGCCGATGTAATGAACAAAATCGAGTGGAAATGACTCACACCCATCGTTTTGGATGTGGTTGAAAAATTAAAGTTCAATTTCATGTAAATTTTTAATGATTGGTATGCCATGCATGCGATAATTGGTAAATACGATTACGACCGTTCGCTCTTTTTCTCCTCTCTTTTATTTTTCCACGTGTATTTTCCTCGCTCTTTTTTACTCTCCTTTTTTGAGTGTACAAACATTTTTAAATGCTTTCGTTTTTCTAGCATTTTCATGGCTTTCGTTTGTTCTCTTCGCTTAAATGTGACAATTTTCGAAAAATTGATTTTGACTGAGAGAATGGGAAATCTCGGCGAGACTTTTTCGTCATTCGTGGAATGGTTTATGAAGGCGTTGAGTGCCGGTTATGGTTTCGTTCAGTTGACTCGCGAGCTAGTTTCAGTTCTCTTAGTTCTCAGCCCCAGTTTTAGTTTCAATAGTACTGCGTAACTTATATGTTCATTGTAGGGCTATGCCACTGGCATAGTATGTCAATGTAAGTTTCAGTGTTGATTTTGTATGCGACATGTATGTAAGAGACGGCTGATTTCTCGCCACTTTTTTCCTGCATTTATTAAATTTGCCGGAAGTGTTTAGCAAAACTATGAAAATTATACGTAGAATGTTGATGCATGTAAAAAAAGAACATGCATTGAATGGGCTGAAACATGCAAAATGCATAATATTCATTAATATACAACAAGTGTTCGTTTTGGGAGTGTGTATTACGTGGGACTGAAAGGTGGAAACGTGCCAAAGTAATCGTCAACGGAATTTCTCCGAACGAGACGAAACTTTGTGCTTTTTCTACTTTTCGTTTCCAACTCACAGGAATTCTTCATTTACGACTCAATTACTCTCGTGCGATTCACGATATACCGTTTCACTCGATTGCGCTCAGCACATGGCCCGAGGATATACAGAAAACGAAGAGTGTTGAGATAAAGCCGTTCCATTGCATTCATTGCTTTCCGGTATGAAAACTTAACGATTTTAATTTTTATGATTTGAATTTATGAGGACAGTCAAAAAAATATGTGAAAAAGCACCGCGCCGCATCGAATGATTTCTTCTTCGCGTTCGGGATTGTTATTGCCTGTATGTGTTCGTCTCTTATTGCAATTATTAGGGCTATAAAAAGTTAAAGGTGAAACGCAAGTGTTTCGGAACTTCGAATTGGCGCGGTTTGTGAGCGAAAGAGTTTGTGAGCCAGGTAGAGTAGATAACCTTATTTCAACATTTGCACCGCATGCTGTTTGCATTTTTTTCTTCGCTTTTTTCTCTATTTGGTTGCGCTCCGTCGTTTTTTTTATGACATTTGCCATGGCTTAATGCATTCACATGCTTTCGCATTTGTCTTCATAGTTTTTGGTGCGCTCGAAATATTTCGCGCAATTCACTCACTTACACTCATTTCCGTGTGATATGGAGCGATACCGACGACATGCCATATACACACATCCACACACATACAAAAAAAGCGACAAGGATAAGTGGAAACCGTTAAACATCAAAAACGATACGAATCTAAGTTTGGGGCCGGATTTTATCGCCTTTCGTTGGCTCTTTTTCGGCATCGTCATTGTTACAAATATGCTTGGTATGTAATGCTTTATAGCCGGTGGAAAATTTCACTCGGTCTCGTATTTCGTTTGGTCCGTCTCCGTCTGCGCTTGTTTCCCATTTCGAAATTTATTTGAAACAATTAACCGAATTGTATGTCGTTAAACTTTTAATTGCGATATGTCAAAGTCGAACAAAGTGAGAGTCTGGATAAAAATAAACGCGTCCACGCACGCAGAGAGAGAGAGAGAGAGAGAGAGAGAGAGAGAGAGAGAGAGAGAGAGAGAGAGAGAGAGTGAAAAGAGTAAATGTGGAGAGACTTCTTCGCCCAAAAATTATTTTACACATCATCCTCGGCCAATCCGATTGTGTGAGTGTGGATGGAGTGTATATACCTTGTGTGTGTACCACCAAATCGAGTCGTTTGTCGAGTCATTTGTTATTATGTTTGTACGAGTGTATATATGAATGGTGTGGGTGGGTAGATGATGGACAAAAAAAGCTCAGCTCAATACGAGAGCAAGAGCGAAAGAAAAACGCCATGCCTTTGTGGACCACAGCTGCTGAAACTTTTTCCACCATGAAAAATAGCCACAAAATGATTTTTGCTACTGTAGAAATATAGCTGTAGTCTTATTGTTTTTGCCATTGCCCCATTTTCTGCTGAATCAGGACAAACGTGATTATCGCACCGCTGGTAAAATGATTTTTTTTTCGTTGCGTTTTTTTTCTTTCCCTCTATCTCTCTCTCTCTCTCTTTTTCTGATTCTCTCCCACACTGTGCCTTTTGCTCTCGTTCTTGTTTTTGGTTAAGCTTCATTCGGACCATATTAAATCATTTGTCACGATTCAATTTTGCTTGTTATGCATGTTTGGTCTGTCAAACATGCTGTTTCCCCCATCGTTAATGGCCAAGGCTACGACTGATGAGCATATGAAATTGGTCAACATTCTTCCCAATGCCGGTGCCGGCGCTGCTGCTGGTGTTGCAACAAACACTATACTTTTTCGTCATTCAATTTAAACAATCACATTTTCGTTTATTTGGCGAAAATTATTAAATTATTATTTTCATGGTGATGTTTTTTTTTTCTCATGACGCTCCCTCCTCTCGATCTACCTCATATTCCAGTTTGATTTCGATTGCATGTATAACACGCGCGTGCACTCTCAACCGAAAAACAACCGAAAAAAATTACCCCATTCATTTGGACTGACAGAAATGATTTAATATTTTGCAGTTGTCAGAGCTGCATTATTATTTCTGATTTAATGGTTAAGGTCTGTGGTGGTTGTTTTTTTTCTCTCGGCCGTGTGAGCCTCGTTCTGATTTTTCAAAATGCACACATCACACGTATGAAGCGCATAAGCCCATAATATGTATTTGCAAACGAGAGCAAAATATGAGCAATGGATTTTATTTAATTTATCTCAACTTTTTTTTGGTCGGAATTTTATTAATATCATTAGGGTTGATGCATTCCAAATGCAAACGAAAAATGTGTTGTAATTGTACAAATTGGCGCATCGTGCTCATATTCGAGATGATTATTAGCGTTGTTGGTGAAAATGTATGCGCATTATGTGTGGATGCGACCACATACGGCGTTTCGTTTTCGTTTGATTAAGATTGAGACCATGATGAAACAGAATTTTGATCAAACAATTCCCAAAATGGAATGAAATGAGACGTGAATTTAAAAATGAATTGCGATTCCTCTGCTTTAAATCGGATTAAATTCGGTTCGTCATCATCGTCACGATCGTTTTCGACGGTACGTCTGGTTGGAATTATTACAATGAGTGGCTTCACTCGAACATGTACGAATGGCAAATCATTATTAGCGAATAAATGATTGCGTGCGAGTGTTGTGTCGTGAAAATTACACCGGTAAAACTTGTTTGTACAGTGCATAAGCGCATCGCGGCGGGAGAAACCGAATGAAGAACGAATGAAGAACGAACGAGAAACAGACCGAGAGAGAGAGAGAGAGAGAGAGAGAGAGAGAGAGAGAGAGAGAGAGAGAGAGAGAGAGAGAGAGAGAGAGAAAAAGTTACGTGAACACGATGTGGTTTGGCGAAAAATGTTCCCATTTCATACATAATTTTTGAGCGTCTGTCTATCTTTAGCGAATTCATGAGCTCATTCCGGTCTACTCAATCTCTCTGTCTCCCTTGCTCGCGCACCTATTCCCAGTGCAAAGCCGTACGTTGTACGTAAATATTCGACATAATCACGAGAGCTCCGTATATCATTATTAATATTGCATGCTACAGACATCTTTTGTTTGCGCTTTTCATTCGCCACGCTGCCATATTTCTTCCTCTCTTTCTCGCCCTCTCGCTTTTTCACTCTGTCTCTTCCGCTCTCGGTGTGTGTGTGTGTGTGTGTGTTTGCCATATCTCTTTTCGCTCGTCGAAAATTGGTGCAAAAATTTTCCGTCCGATAATTTCCTTGAAATTCGCACAACGACTAGTTAGTTTTTTTTTTCATTATAAGTTTCGTAACGAAACGCTAGAGTAGAGTAGAGAGGAAGGACAAGATGATATGAAAATCAAGGATATTTCCAGTACTCGCTTCTCCCTCTCCTTCTTCGCCGTATGGAATGTTTATTTTAATGAAGTGTGTGTCATGCACACGAAAATTCCATTCAATTTATAGTCAGTGCGAAAAATTTACCACGCGATCGTGTTTGTTCAAGTAAATTTTTCAAGCCATCCCCCAAATGGCATATGCACAATGTCGGTTGTGTAGCATACTGATAGGAATGTGTCAGTCAAGACGAGCCACACAGTGCAGCAAAAGGTGAATAAATGTGAGCAAAAATCGAAAGCGAATGCAGAAGAGAGTGAGGAAGGGCGAATTGGTAAAAGTGATAGCGGTCGGTTGGGTTGCTCTATGGGAAATATAAGACATTTGAAATTATATGTGGAATATGCTTGTACAGTGTACATACCAGGCGAAATCAGTTCGAAGTGGAACATGTCGAATACAATGAACATCGAATAAACCATTGAAAGTTTAAGTTTTTTTGGCGTTGAAAACGTGACGCATCAGCCACTATCGATGGCAAGAAAAAAAAAACCACCAACCAAGTGATAGCAAAAAAAAATTTAACCCGACAAAAGAATAACCGCATGTTTTAATAGCATTTGCCACACGGGAGATCGTTAATAAATTATCTCACGATGTTCTCAAGCATCGGAGTGCGATGTGCATTTTTTATGTGCCCGGCTCATTTTCAGCCGCACAGACGCGCTCGCGCCCACACACAAATTCACAGATACAATCCCGTACGTTCGCCGAATCTAGATAGAAAAATCTCGAAAATTGCACCGAGACAATCGTGATGTTGGTTTTGTTGTCTCTCTTGTTCCACCATTTGAGCGTGTCACGTCAATGAAATGCTTGTTGCGCTCGTTATTAAAGCTTTGGTTTTTCCGAACAAAGTCTTGAAACACATTTTTCAGTCGCCTCTTTTCCACATAATTGAACAATCTTATCCATGGTGTCAGTTTATTTGCTTCGGAGCGTCGACGGTGTCGTTGTTATTGTTGTCGCTGTCGATGTGCGTGTGTGCATCGAATCTTTCAAGTGTAATAAGATCGCATGGCAAAAACTGTCAATGCAATCTGTGTGTGTTCATTTAAGTGTGTCGAGACAAATTAATGGATATCAAAAACTTTTCGGAACAGATAAAGTGTTGGTGCACAAACATGAGATGCCAGATAGAGTAGCAGAACGAAAAGAGACACCGGAGTGGGAGAGAGGGAGAGAGAGATTCGTCAGCCATGAAAATGGAGGTCAAACACAGAGCCAAAGACACACTCTGTTTGTTCAAGCTGGTTAGATCCAAACTATAGAGCTGTTATATACGTATGGCTTATTAAAGATATTGCATATTGTTTGGATAGAAATTGAATATGGTCCATTTTATAATATGGAGTGAGTGAGTGAGTGAGTTTGTGTGTGTGGTGATGAAAACGAATGAAAATGCCAAGTGAATTCATATAAGGACACCGTTGTGGCAACGTTGAAACTATTGAAATTTTGCAGTGCATGCATTGGAAAATGCAATTACATGAGCAAAGCTAACACTTAACCGAGAAATAGAGAGTGAGCGAGCGAGCAACTGAGTCAATCGATTCCATCTTTTTGCACGGCTTCTGAATATCATTTTGATATGGAAGCCGAAACCGAGTGGTGGTGGTGGTGGTGAAGAGAATACACTAGAACCCGATGGTTCAGTCTCATGGGAATGAGAATGTCGCACAGTCTAACGTGCTACCAATAAATTGACTTGAAATTGCACTCAACTATTCGCCGACGATCACCATCGAACGGCAAAATAATTTGTCAGTTGAACGAACAGGTAAAATCAATAAAATTTAATAAGAATCTCTTGATCCGAAGTAAATTTCAAATATCTTTTTCCCTATCTCTCTCGGATGGTTTTATCAATAATAATTCTGAATGGATCTGAATCCGTATATATATATGGGAAATTACGACATTTTATTTATACATTATACAGTGTATCGTTCAATTATCATCATCAGTGCGCACATATACACGTCATGATGGTCATTTTTCATTTAAAATCTTCATCGCTATTCAATTATCTCCAACAATGAAAAATGCGTCTAGCATTGCATCTATCATTATCCCTATCAATTTACAATTAATTCGTTCCTCTTCAATAAATTTATTTCTGTGAAATTTCATAACAAAATTAGAATCTTCCTACTTATACGTAGTATGTATTACGATGCAATTTGCCCACCCGGGTGGTGGTTCAGTGACGATGTTGATAGTGACGGTGATGGTGATGGGCTGGCTATCATTTCTTATTTCTAGTAATATAATTCTATAGAAAACTAACTTGAATACTGGCTAGATGAGATCGACCATGCCACTTACATGACAAATCAAATGAACATGGAATAATTAAATGTCAAAATTATCGATAAAAATATAAAAATTCTCACGAATGTTGGCATTAGGATACATTTATTAACGGCTGAACTGCTGAGGGCGCTCGCATGACACAATAGATCCTCCGGAAATACTTCTAAAAATGGCACCACCTTTCCGGTCTGTGGGTCGACACACGTATTTCTGCGGGCACGCTGCACACAGGAAAAAAAAACACACAAAAAAATGAAAGTTCAGAGGAAATCAAATAACAATGATTATGGTAGTAGATTTATCACGAGTGTGAGTGGTGTTGGTATCAAAACGGAAAAATGAGCTGACACCATAATTTCCGAAATGTAACTTGAATTATTACGTAATATTTTTTCTTACCTCGACCATTTCTTTGTAGTCTTCATCGTTGAGATTGTGTATGTGTGACACTTCACGAAGCCACCTCCTGAGCCAGTGTCCCAACCAAACCAATCCGCATTCGCACTGTAATGGATTACCATAAATGTCCAAACCACCGATAATACTTCGCGTTCCGACTGCATCCCAGCTGCTTGCGTTCGGATAGAAACTGTCCGGTGCTAAATTGGCTACGTTATTATTCGACAGATCGATCGACAAATGTGGTATGGAGCGCAGTGCATAGAATATCGTCGGTGGAAAATCATTGATTTGTGTATTGTGGATTTTCAGTTTCAAATTATAGCTGTGCGCAAGTCCAGTAAATGCCGTCGGTGCGATTTGTGTTAAACGCTTTCCCGTAATTTCCACCGAATTAATTTTCGTATGATTTACCAGCTTTGATAGAATCGTACCGTCAAACAATTCCCCATTCACCTCGATACGCAACTCGTGCAAACCACGCATATTTGATACGATGTCGGCAAACGACGATTGAGCATCGAAGTGAAACACTTTGAGATTCGTCAATTGACCGAATGGCATTGGATTTCGTATGGAACAACCACGCATATACAACTCCTCAAGACGACGTATTCGCGTGAAATCCTGCAATAAAATCCGTTTGATTGGATTTCGTGATAAATCGAGCACACGTAACGATGACGGTAATCGGTCGGCCAACGCACTTATGTTTGACACTTTGTTCTGGGCAATTTTTAGCACACGTAAATGCTTTAATCGATTCAACGCACTGGTTTCCTGCAAATTATTCATGCTCACATCGAGCTGCGTTAAATGATGTGTTGCCGTCATCGATGGCATGTGATACAAGCCCATCGCGCGTAAGTTTAGTACACGTAACATGGGTGTGTGATGAAAGATTTGCTCCAAATTGGCAGTTACTAATGGATTATTGCTCAAATCTAAATTCGTTAAATTGCTAAGATAACTAAAAGTGTTATCCGGAATCACGACCAGTTTATTTCTTGACAAATCTAACGTATACACGTACTGCGTGTTGATAAACATATTCGGTTCCAGGTATTCGATTTCATTGGACGCCATGTGTACATTGCGTAGCGTGAATCCAATGTCACTCAATGAATTCGATGGCCACAGTGTCAATTGATTGTTCGACAAGTCCAAATACTCGATTCGAGTGTGTACGAAAATTTCGCGTGGTAACGAACGCAATCGATTGTGTGCCAAATTTAGAATTCGTAAATTTCTCAAATCCGCAAATTGATCCGATTGAAGTTGATTTATATGGTTGTTGTTCAGTTCAAGTTTCTGTAGATTGGTCAATCCCTGGAAGCATCTCCGTCGCAACACCGATAAATTATTATGAGATAAATCCAACCAGTCCAAATTGTACAGTTCGTTGAATGCATGATTATTCAAAATGCTAAAACTATTACGTCGTAAAATCAGCTCCTTTAAACTGTAGCCCAAGTATCGAAAACTTTGCGAATCGTTCAGATAATTGGATGTTGCGTCAATGGAGTAAATGTACAAAAATGAATTGATTTCACCGTCCAGCATCGACAAACGATTATGGCTGATGTTCAAGCGCAGCGGCATCGACTCATTCGAAGCGTGTTTAAATATTTTAAACGTTAAATGATCTAAATGATTGTACATTAAATCTAGCTGCAGTAATCTCGGCAAAAATGTGAACACATTTTCGCTAATGTTGCGTAATAAATTGTGCGTTAAATCGACATACGTCAGTTCGGGTAGATTGTGAAAGCTGTGCATGTCCAGCGATGCGATGCGATTCGATGACAAGCGTACGGTGTGCAAATTCAGCAAACTGTCAAATGTGTTGGTGTAGATTTTTGTCAGTGAATTGTATGATAAATCGATTTCTTTGAGCTTCTTATGGATTTCTGCAATGAAAATGGTCGGCGGAAACATGGCGATGCGATTAAACGACAGATTAATGTGCACCAATTCCGTTAATGTGATGAGCGATTCGTCGGAGATTTTTTTCAAATTATTATTGTCCAACGACAGCCACATCAATTCCGTTAAATATTTGAATTGCTCGGTTGGAAAATCGTCACGGTACAAACCAAACGACAGCTCGAAAATGGTCAATGTTTTCGATATATTCTCAAATACCAGCGGATGCAGATAATGAATGTCGTTGAAGCTGAGGCTCATTTCTTTAATGGCATCCAAACCGTTAAATGAACCATAATTTAAGCTCGTGATTTTATTGTTGCGCAAAAAAAATGTTTCCAATTTGTTGCCCCACTCGGCAAACCCATTTTCGGGTAGTTCGACAATTTTGTTGTAGCCCATGTTCAAGTATATCAAATCGGTGCACATTTTCAATGCATGCACCGGCATTGTGGTGAAATTGTTCGCTGCCAATGACAATGCACGCAGGGTGCTCGGCAGTGTATCCAACGAACCGATACCGTTTGACGGTAAGTATAAATAATATAATTGTTTCAATGACATCACGGCTTTTGGAAACTCTGTCAGTAAGTTATGCTCCAGATCAAGGTGTTCCAGCGAATTTTCAAGCCCATTAAATGCATCGCTGTGAATGTGGTGGATACGATTATAGGCCAACGCTATTCGGCTGGTGGATAAATTTTGAAATGAATTTGCATGCAAACGACGCAACCAATTCTTTTCGAGGATAATGATTTTGATGGTTGAATTTGCATTGAACAAATGTCCAAACTCTTCGATGGTGTTGTAGCTAAAATCGATGCGTTCCAACAGCATCGGACTGGGATGGTCTTCAATGGCGGCCAACGATTTGAGCAAATTATTTCGCATAAAAAGCGAACGTAATTGATGTAAATGCTGGAGCATATTTACAGGTACTTCAGTGAATAAATTATCGCTTAAATTTAATGTGATTATGATTCGAGGTAAATAGTTGGGAGCAATGTGTGATATACGATTGTCGCTCACATCTAACCACGTCAGTTTACGAAGTTTGGAAAATGCGCTGCGATAGCTGGTGCCACTAATCGAATTGTAACCATTGTACGATACCATCATTTTGTGATGGAAACGCTGATGTTGCTGCTGCTGCTGCTGCTGCTGCTGCTGTGGCGGCTGTTGGAATTGTGGATTACGTGGCAGCTGGTCATCGTCCACATAATCGTCTTCCTCATCAGCGAAATTCATTTCCGTTATTGAATTTCCTGACACATGCAGCGAACGCAATGAGTCAACCAAATAGCCCCAATCGCCATCTAAACTTTGTATTTTATTTCTGTTTTTGGCAGCATACACCCCACGCCGAACATCGAACACATACAGAGATCACATCAATTCCGATTGAATGAGGCGACAGAAAGGAAAAAAAAGAACAAGAAAAAAAATGTGTTGGTTAAGCTTCGGTTCCTATTGATTATTGATTAATCCTATTATATGTGTCGTTCAATTCACGATTCAATCGATTCGAAATGGATGTTTCGTTCGTCGAAGGTGAATGTGTCTGTCTCTGTGTGTTGTCACACATCGTTTGAATAATCGAATTAATAATATTCAGCCGCGCACGAAGCTCCATGTGGGAATTACCATTCCATACGCAATATCTGACGCATAATCAATCATATATAAGGTTTAGGATACGAACATCTTTTTTTTCGCATCTTCTCTCCAGTGAATTCGCATTACCTTCGTCATTTTTGCCAACGAACATTCTATTTTCGATGAAAAGCGCCGAACACACGAAATTATCAAATCAATCATCTGTAAAATGAGCTTTAAAAAGAAATTTTCGGCGCAGCGAAAGCGCGTTATCCCGAATTCGATGCAAAGTGCTTTTGAAATACGGCCTAACATCCTGTGCTCGTATAACACATTCTTGACAATTTAATGGATTTGGGTAGGTATCTGGTGTAATTTCACATGAATGATAATAATTAATTTTTCACATTTTCTTTTGCTCTAATGAAGCGAATATTCGGTGATGGATACAATTATTTCAACACGAACCACGGCCTGTTACACACGTCACCATTGTTTGGCAACGGTTATCCATTTCGATCGCATTGTTGGTCATCATTTGATACTTATTCACATGTGCATATATGTGTGTATTCAACCGATCGATTCAATTTCGCTTTATTGATTCGAATAGTACAGTCGATAAAATACCCTGGCCCAACAATAATTTCCCGGCTTACACATATAATTCAAACTGTCTTTTTGAACCCAATTACATTTAGTTGTTATCTGATGGTCATAAACAATAAAAGGTGGTTCTCTTGTATATTGATTGAGAATCACATCCATGACATCAACTTGAATCGATTGAATGAATGAATGGTTATTACTTAACGTAATAATCATATATTAATATAGAGTTGTTACCTGTGTGCTTCTAATCGACTAAGTGTGTGTATATTTTTAATTGATTCTAACGGCAATTCCTCGAACTGATTTCCCGATATATCCAGTAGCCTCAGTGAATGTGTCATCGAACTGGAAGAATGAACAAACAAGAAGACAAACAATGAAATCAAATGAAAACCATGGAACATGGAAAATCCATAAAATATTGAAATCACAACTGCATTTCTGTTGTCGTTGTTAGTAGTTGTAATGAGAAAAAAAAACAAAACAATTCCCATCAACTCGAAATACGCATCAAATCGGTGGGACCAAACGAATTCAATTGAGTTCAACGTAACTTAACTCAACTCTCAGTTCGAATCAATCCACTTTGTTGTATTTGGTTTGAGTTGAAGTCGTGACGACGCCAAACTGACTTTTGTTTATTATGAGTAAATTGGGTGTGAAACGGGCCTGTGTGCTTTTGGTAGGTATTTTTTAATAAAATGTCAACGAAACGATTTTGCCATCAACCTATTGTTACCTTTTAACATTGCATGACAGAGTTTTTGGTAACGAGATGGAGTGAGCAAGCAAAGGAGCAAGCGAACGAAAAAAAATTCGTTTTCTAATTGGATAAGCAAACAAATGTCGGCATTTAGAGCGACATTTTGTTTTGTTCGCCCGCTCCTCCTGTATATAATGATGAAAACAAACTCCGGATGAAATGGCGCATTTTCGAGCAGCTCTGTACTTTGGTCGCAAGCTCTGGCGACTACTTGCCGATTGAAAGCCTTTGTATGTAAATGGCAGAAAGTTAATGGGAAAATTTAGCATCGTCTCACACACTTCCCCTCCTACTTCTCCTCCCATACGAGATGTTAAAAACAATAACGTCAATCCATCGAATGAGAAAGCCGAACGAGTGTAAGTGAGTCTGTGTTACACGCAGATATCAAAGGTTAATGGTGACAGTGGACGAAAGATATTAGATGATCCGAATGTGTGTTTGCGTTACGTATAAAAATATATGTATGTGTCGTTGTCGTTAATGCGGCGAATAAAAGGTAAAATGAAAACTCATTAAAAGCGAACATGTTAAATGCTTGAGTCATAGTCATAGTTTTTGCTTTGATTCGACATTTTGATATGTTCAGAGGTTCATCATTGGGCGACGCATTCATTACCTCCTGTACATCGTAGTCGTCAGGTATTGTGTGTTTATTCGCATCAGGATGCAGAGAAGGTAGCCAAAAGAAAAAGAAAATAAACCCAATTAAGTCGTTCAGCCCCAGCAGATTCAAAAACCATTTGAATATGTTCTCGTTCCATTTGTCACGTTTTCCTGCGTCTTGTATCAAAGCGCAATTCAATGCATCATCTAATTGGGAGTGCTTCTTCTGTCTCACTCATTCGGAACGGTTTTGAATGGCCTATCCCGTGTATGCACGGCACCAAGACATTACAACTTGTCTTACTTGTTTAGGTAATAACGCTACGCATGTCGCGCGCACCCACACATACATACAACACACTAAATTAATCATTTCAAATTCAAGGCGAATACTTCGCATTCTATTCATTTCATGGAGGCTCAATGAAGGCTAACCAAAAGTGACGGCGAACACAAAATAGAAACACATACGCGCTAACACCGACGATACGGCCGATAGAATGCGAACGACGATGAAAACGAGATAGCAAACGGGACAGGGAGTGGGGTTCTAATTAAGGTATATTTATATTCATGTGGAATCACAAAGTAAATCCTATTAACCGACAACCGAGAAACAATTTCCGTTGGCATTTTCATTCCGTAGAAACGAATTACGGAGTGACTGATTTTCGGGACGCGTTGTTTCGGACAAACCATGATGGCATATCAATCGGGCCGCTGAACAGGCACAAAAACTAAAAAAAAAACCTTGTTGATACGCATTTAGATTATTGGAAAAGCTAAAAATATTCCACTTGAACACTGAATGATTCAGCGGCATCCTTTAATCCATTTAATCATATATTTACTGAAATAACAATTGAAAACTCGCAATCGTGTCACAAAAGGAGACCTCTCAAAGTTTTTGTCGTTCTATTCTGATTACGGCACAAAGCAATAGTTTAAATTGTTATCCACATCGAAATGCTGCTTTAAATGGACGCTTTATTGATTTTCAACTACTTTCTGCTGTACACAGCATTATGCTGATTCAATTTTCATTTAATCAGATTGGTTTAGCCTTTTCCATCATGTTGTTGTTCTGTTGTCTTGTGTTGCTGTTGTTTTTTTTTCCTTTCTTGTTTTTCTTTTTCTTCCATTTGCAAGTACGCATCAAATGATGGTGCGTTGACTGTGTATTTCACGACTCATCTTCATCAACATTGTTAACATTGAAATTAAGTTAGATGTTCGAGGAACGGAAGTGGAACTAACCGTAGGCTTCTTTTATATGGACCAACAGATATGAGCACACTCCTTCATTCGCTTCGTCTCTCTATCGTTCGTCGAACATTTTCACATAATAATTTGACCTTTTTTCGGCAGTTTGATTGCGTCGTATTTTCTTTATTTTATTTGCGTTTCATTCTTTTTTATTTTGATTGGCCCTTAACTGTGTCTTGTCGAAGGGTTTCTCTCTCCCTCTCTCTCTGAACTATCTCTGTGCAGCTTTCGTTCTGGTTGCTCGCTTCGATTCGCCTTGGTCGAGTGTTG